TAGCCGACTCCAGACGTGAGTCATTAGGGCAGAGGCTTTCCAGGGGAAGGGAGGAGGAGGAGAAGAGAGGAGGTGGAGGAAGGGGAGAAGAGTAGAAGGAAGAGGTGGGGTAGGGGTTAGGGTACAGGGGAGGGGAGTGAGGAAGGGGGAGAGGGAGCAGCCCCCCACCCCGTGCACCCTGAGCATAGGCAGGAGGACACCAGCCATGGCCAGCTCCATGCTGGGAGAAGAGAGGGAGTGTCTGGGATCCAGGAATTTTGAGGCCCTAGGGAACACCCCACCATCTCTCAGGTCTTGCCTCCCCCACCTCCCTGGCCCCCTCCAGAGTCAGGAGAAAGGACCTGGAGTTTAGAGTGAGAGTCCAGGCTAGCTGTCACTGCTGGGTGACTCCGGCAAGTCCCTTCCCCTCCCTGGCCTGTTTCCTCACCTGTGTTCCGGGGTGGGGGGGGTGACAGGGGCTGGAGCCAGGGGCATGGGCTGAGCACGTACTGGCCACTGGCAGCTTGCAGCAGGGAGGGGCTCCCCTGCGCCCACCCTGATGATTGGAATCTTGCCAAGAGCTCGGTCTGGGGAGGCCAGTCCTCTCCGCTCATCCCCAGTAATCCCTAATGGCAATGGTGGTGATGACGATGCTTCTACATCAGAATATTTTGAAACTCATTTTTTTTTCTCCTCTGGGATGTTACTGCAGAAATCAATAAGAGTCCTTAGAGTTTCAAAGACTCAGATATGCCCAGCCCAAAGGGCATGAAAGGGGCATTCAACCAAGAGCAAACACCCGCTTGGACCCCCGCAGAGACCAGGCAGGACTGCGGAGCCCTAGAGAACACCAGCACGGACGAGTGACATTCCCAGCCCCGAGGTTATTGGACTGGGGCCATTGGACTGACTTGTCTGAGGTTGAGCTGCCCTCACCCGGCAGTGCCGGGCTCAAACTAGAGATGCAGTTGAATGAAGTAAAAGCCCATTGATCCACCACATCTGGTGTGGTGTTCACGGAGCACGTGCTCTGCCCGGACAGCAGGCTGAGAGCAGCGTGGGAGCCGCCTCAGTGGTCCTCCCGGCCATCCCCCCGCATGTTGCCATTTGCTCCACTTTGCAGATGGGGAAACTGAGACTTGCTCCTCTGCAGCCACGTGGCAAGTGCCAGACCAGGATGTGAACTCAGGTTGGCCTGGCGCTCTCTGCCCAGTGGTGCCCCATGGACATCTGGAGAGGACACTGCACTTCAGGCTGAAGAGGTGGCCCGGGGGACCTGACCTGAAAGCCACTGGTTTAAATTCATCCTTTGGCTCAGCCAGTGTTGCCCAAGTACCAGGCACCCGGGGGAGTCACAGAGGGATGAGCAGGTGAGGCTCGGGGTAGAAAAGCCAGCAGGGAGGTGACAAGGCCTGAGCAGGGTGGCAGCTGGGGAGACAAGAGGATGCACCACAAGGAAAGAGGCCAAGGCCACAGGAAGGGCGGGACCTGCTGTCTGGGGGCAGGTAGGCATGGACATCCCAGGGCTGCAGAAGGCCTTAAACAGAGAGAGGTAGGCAGGGAGGGAAGAGCTGAGTGTCAGGCAGCTTCGGGGTTGAGGCACGATGGCCTCTCAGAGGGGAGACATCTGCGGGGTCAGGGTCATGGATTTGGGGCTCGGGAGACCATCAGATGCCGATTTGGTGTCATCATGGGCCAGATGGGAGACAGTGCCACAGGAGCGGTGGGGGCAGCCCTGGGGACAGTGCCATTAAGTGTGAGAGGAAAGGAAGAGTGGGAACAGAGTCCTGGGAAACACTGGCATTTCAGGGTGGGGGAGGCCCGGAGTGACAGGAGGGACTGAGGGACATTCATGGATCCGTGTGTTTGTTCACTCCACAGACGTGTATGGAGCCCCTGCTCTGTGCCAGGCACTGTGCTAGGCTCTGGCCACTCAGTAGCGAACAAAGCACCTATGATCTTTGCTCTCTTGGAGCGCACAGATCAACAGAAGTGCTTTAAGAATGGGGAGTGAGAAGTGCTAAGAGAGAAAACCAAAGCTGGGTTGAGGGGATATAGAGTGACGGAGGGAGGGTGGCTGTTTTAAATGGAGTAGACAGGGAGAGCCTCTCTGAGGAGGTGACATTTAAGCAGAGATATGAGGGAGGTTGGGTGAGCCATGTGGGCATCTGGGAGGGGAGATGTTCTAGGGACTAAGGATTTTTGCTTTTATTCCAAAGAGATGGGAGCCCCAGGAGGGTTTTAAGCAGAGGAGGGACAGGATCTAACTTAGGATCCCTCTTTCTGCTGAGGGAATGGACTGTGGGGGCCAGGGTGGAAACAGGGAGCCCAGGGCAGCTGCCATGATGACTTTCCAGGTAGGAGATGGAGGTGGGTGGTGCAGGGTGGGGCTGTGGAGGGAGAGAAAGCCGTTGGGAGGTAGGTCAGAAGAGGCGTGTTTTGTGGCCGAAGACTTGCTGATGGAGACCGTTTCTGGAAAGATGGTACTGGTCAGCAACATTAAATTTGTCAGGAGATCAAGTATTATGGAGACTGAGCCGTGGCCATTGCATGTGGGAGGTGGCATGTGGGACGTGACTTTTGGGGGAAGGAGTACATGGGATGTGAGGAAGTGGAGGCAGAGTGTGTGGACTTCTGAGAGCTAGGCCAGAAGTCAGAGAGGGTGTGGGTTGGAGAAGAGGCCTGTTTCCTCTACTCATCCTTACTCTACTTCCTTTTTTTTTTTTACCATGCGAGATACTTGGACGGGATCAAACACCGAGGGGAAGAATCAGCAGAGGGGGAGCACTGGGGGGATAGTTGGCTTGGGGACGTTCAGGGGCTGCAGGGGGATGGGATCTGCATCCTAGGAAGGAGCAGTGGGCCTTGGCCCATGGAGGAACCTCTTCCTTCTGAGCTGGAGAAAAGTCCTGGGGACTGGTGGATGCATGGGTGAACCTGCAGGTGTGGGAGAGGCAGCTGAAGGGTGGCTCTCCCTTTGTCCCCATTTCTCACTGAAGCAGGGGATCGTTGGTCTGGTGAGAGGATGGGGGGTAGTAAAGATGGAGGCTTGAGGAGGAGGTGATGTTTGGAGTGACCCTCACGGAATGGGAAACACACAGATTTACGGGCAGCATGGAGCCCCCAGTGGGTTGGCTCCAGTGTGTGAGGACAAGAACTTCCTTGAGGGGCCTCGGGGTGGGATGGTGGCAGACTGGCAGTGTTGCAGGGCAGGTGGGTGGGAGGGCAGGTGGGCAAGGGACTATGGGAAGATGGTGAGTGGGGGGTTGAGGTCAGGGCAGGAATAAGGCAGGAGGTTAAGTGTGCGTGCACGTGAGTGTATATGCAAGAGTGTGCAAAGCAGGTTGGTTAGTTACGTGTGGGGCAGTGTCTCCACCTTGGGGATGGATAAACCCAGGTGTGCTCAAGGCAATCCTTTGGAAAACAGAGGAAACTACCAGAACTTCAATTTACATGATTTTGTATGTCATCGTTTTGAAAATGGAAGGTTCCATTTCATTTTGTTTTATTCCCTGTACTTACATGAATATGGGTACATGTGCAAAGAATATTAAATAAATGTGCACATGATCAGGGGAGTGGATGTTGTTTGATGATTAGGCACGTGGTCTGAAAAGTTTGGAAACCAAGGAGTAAGAAGACACTGCTCCTTGGAGAGGTACCCTGTCACTTGCTGTGTGCTGTTTAATACATCCGAAGGCTCTAGGAATCAGGCCACTTCCCTCCACCCCTTGCTGCAGCTCAGACCGTCCCCTGCACCTGGGGCCTGGGTCTCATTCTCTCCCTTGGTTGCTCCCACTTAGGGGATCCTGCCAGCCCTGTCTTGGAACCCACAGGACACCTTTCCTGCCCCCAGGCCTGTGCAGGGCCACGCCGGCTTCGTTCATCCGTGTACTCAGTGCCTTGTCGAGGGCCTGGCACACAGCGGGTCCTCAGAGTGTTTGCTGAAAGACTGAGGACAGAAGACTCTAGAGCGGTCCGGGCCTTGGGCCAGAGTAGCCTGGGGTGTCCTCAACTCCTCACTCTCTGCCACCCCGTCCCTGGTTCACTAGCAGGGCAATCAGCCCCCCTGCAGAATAAAGCAGGTTCTCCCCAGCCTGGTCCCGCTCCATCCAAGCGTCCATCCCCTCTTGCCTGACAGCTGAGCAGGCTCCTCCTCGGGCTCCCAGCATGCACCCTGCCCCCAACACTGTATTTTGTTCAGAACAAATCAGCTGTGTCTCCTCTTCAAGGCCTGCACTGGCTCCTGAGATGCTCAGAGCTAGAGCCAGAGTCCTCCCAGTGGCCCCCAAGGCCCGGCGCGACCTGCCTCCCCTCCCCTCCCCTCACCTCTCAGATCTGCTCGCTTGCCCCTCTCTCCCCTCCTTCTCTGCCTCAGCAGCACTGGTCCCCACCACCGTTCCCCAGGCACCCTGACTGCATTCCCACCTTGCAGCCTTTGCACTTGCTGGCCCCTTTATAGCGAACGTCCTCCCTGCAGGTACCCGCATCGGCTGCTCCTTACTTGTTCTCTGGGTTCAAACATCACCTCCTCCAAGAAGCCCTCTCGGATTCTCTGACCTCAAATAGCCAAGCCGTCACTGCTTGCCCTCTTCCCTCCATTTTGCTTCACCATCTGACATAGCAGATATTTATCGCTCATCTCTTTATGGCCTCTTTCCCCCACCAGGCCAGCAGGAGACGTATTGTTCTGTTTACTGTTATATCCCTGGCACCCAGGGTGGGCCAGGCCCGGGATCAGAGCTCATTGGATTTCGGATTTCGCTCAGATGAGGAAATGAATGGCTGTGAGGCAGCCAGTTTTCCAGCTCTGATCCCGCCCCGTCTTGCTGTGTGGCATCAGGGCCATCCCCGTCCCTCTCTGTTCCTCATTACCCCAATCTGTACAATTCAGAGACATGAGTTTGATCAGCCTGGCCTTTGTGCCGGGGAAGGCCTCTGGGGAGGACGCTCCACCTATCCATCGGGACAGGCCCCCCCTGCCTCCCCCCACCGCGCCTCTGCAGACGCCCAGCCCTTACCTTCTGCAGCCACTGTGTGTTGTTCTCCAGCACCTTCTCCAGCTGTCGCACTCGCTGGGCCGGCCAGTCGGCTAGGTTCAGCGCGGCCGCCGGCGAGTCCCTCTGCAGGCTGTTGGAGCCCCCGAAGGCCTCCGGCTCCGGCGGGCAGGGCTCCGGCTCGGGCAGCACGAAGGTGTAGCTGCACTGGCCGTGCTGGACGCGGTGTGCCCGGCGGCGCCCGCCCGCCTCCTGCCCCCTCCGCTGGGCCACAGTGGCGGCGGCCACGACGAGGAGGAGGCCGCCCAGCAGCATGGCCGGCCGGGAGAGCATCCGGAGATGTGGCGAGGGCGAGGGCTGTGGGCTCAGAGCTCCCGGGGCGCTCCACCGGCTCACCGCCCGGCTCCCCGCCCAGGAGGGGCCGCCGTGGCCAGCCGAGGACAGGCCTGCGTGCGGAGCCGCGGCGGCGACAAACCCCTGCTTGGCCGAGCTCGGTCCAAGCAGCTATTTATACTTGCTCCAAATACCACAGCTGCTCGGCTTCCTCCCACCGCCTCTGCTCCCCGCCCCGCAGACACCCCCTCACCTCGAATCTTCCCCCTCTCTCCCTTCCTTCCTCCTCGTTCTTGCCACTGCTGCCCTGTCCCCGCACCGGCCCTGCTCGCCTCGCTTGGCCTGGCCTCTGAGTTCTTTTAGTACCCAGTGGAGGCCTGGCCTCCCTGTGGGAAAGAAAACAACACACACACACACACACACACACACACACACACACGCACGCACACATGCACCAAACCCCCAAAGCTGCCTGCTTCAGAAAACCAAACGCAACTGAACCCTCTCTTCCTGTCTCTGTCTCTCTCTCTCTCTGTCTCTCTCCAGCCTCCCCCCACCAAGGCTGGGATCTCAAGTTTCAGCTCCCCTTCCCCTTCCTTCTCCCCCCCTACCATCCCCCCTCTGATTCCATGTTAGTGCTTGGAACACAAGCGAAGTGACCCCCAGAGAGAGCAAGGAGGGGGGGGAGGGCAGAGGGTGAGGCTGGGGAGGAGGCAGCGAGTCCAAACTGTTTCTAGAGACAGAGAAAATCCTTTCGAAGCCAGGGAAGTGGGCGCTCTAGCCGGGAGCTGGCTCCGGTCCTCCCTTCTCCCTTGGGGCCTGGGGGGTTGTTGTGCCCTGGGGTGGCCCTGGCTCAGCAGTTGTGACACTAATGAGAAGCTGTCCTGTCCTGGGGCAGATTGTTCTAGGACTGCCTTTGGCCAGAGTGGGGAAAAGGATTGCAGGAAGAATAGCTTGGGGTAAAGTGTTCTCTGCTAGCCCTGGAGTCAGAGGGAGCTGCCTCTAAATCCTGCTCCCCAGCCTCGGGCCCGCGGGCGGGGGGCTGAGTTTCTCTGTGCCTCCATACACTGATTTGTAAGCTGGGTAACTCCCGTCTCTTACATGATGAATGTACGTGAGTCCTCCCCTCGGAAACTGAGGAATATTTGATTTATTAATTTACCTGTTTACTGGTTTAAATCCTGGCTATACCAGCTGTGTGACTTTGGGCAAGTCACTTAACCTCTCTGTGCCACTGTTTCCTCTCCGCAAAGGGAGGAAAATATTACCACCCACTTCAGAGGGTGAAAATTAAGTGCGTTAGAACAGGAATGGCAGAGGGTGAGAACAAAATAGATACTTTGTACTGCTGTGATCAGCCTCACAGTTACTATGTATCTTGCTCCCCGAGCCCCTAGGAATGTAAACCCCGTGGGGGCAGGACTTGTTTCGGGGGGACGCAGTCGCTGGGTGGCAGGTACCCAGGAGTGCTGGCGCCTTTCCCGGGTCTGCTGTCTTCCGTCTTCTTCTGTTGCTTTTCCTAGAGCGGGGGCCCGTCCAGCTGTTTGGTATTGTTTTTTTTTTTTCCCTTTGTTTTTCCAAATCCTATGGAGTTTTGAATAGGGTAGCCTGCTTGGGGGCAGCGGGAACCAGGGGCTCATCCGGGTGATTGAGAACTTTAAACCAGGTGTGTGGGGTTTTGGCAGGAAAAGGAAAGGCAGCTGGTTATCGGCCACCAGCATTCACTGAACTTCCTGTGTGCTCAGGACTCTGCTTGCCCACCTCTGCCTCAATTGTCTCGACTGTAAATGGGGTCATACCACCCCTGACCTTGTGAAGAAGGAGTGTGCAAATGCAGGTCAGGAGTCTATCCTGGTGCCTGACACAGATGAGCCCAGAGTAAGGGGCGACTATCATGAGGATTGTATTGGTTGAGCCACATGGTATGAGCCCAACAAGGCCGGTGTCATCATCATTCCCATTTTACAGAGGAGAAACCTAAACCCAGAGCAGGAGGGTGATTTGCCCAAAGTCACACAGCCTGGAGATGCTTGACCTGGAGCTGGGGCAGGAGGGCAGTCTCTCTCTGCTGCCAGGTGGGTCTGGAGCCCATCTCACTTCCCCCCGCTTATCCCTCAGGGCAGTGCAGGAGCCCAGCCTCCACGTGCTTCCCCCTGCCCCAGCTCAGTCCCCTCCTCTGTCTACCGCAGGGAGCATCTACACCACCTCAGGGAGGAGTGGAGCTCCCCTCCCCCACATACATACCCAGGCCATGCATTTAATCTTACTGACTGAAAAAATGAATGTAATTTTCTTCCCAAGGTCCCATTATTATGTGAGTGGCTCTCTGTACAGAAGAGGAAACAGGAATACCTGTTCACTGGAGAAATGTGGGTAGGATCAAAAGAAGAGCTCTGGAAAGCTTGGGAGATGACCCTGGCAGCCTCTGCACCTTTATTTCAGCACCTCTTTCTCACCTCAGGGCCTTTGCACATGCCGCTTGCTCTGTCCAGAGCACTGTGGTCCATCCACCCCCACCTTTCAGCAGTGTTCCCGTTACCGTGGCTGTCAACCAATTACCCCAAAACTTAGTGTCTTAAAACAAAAATAACCATTTCTTATCTCTTAGGGTTTCTGTGGGTCAGGAATTCGGGAGCAGCTCAGCCGGGCCATCATGGAGGTTGCAGTTGGATGGTGGCTGAGTGAGGGTCATCCCGAAGGCTTCTTCCTTCACCTGTTGGCACCTTGGGTTTCCACCTCCCACCCCAGCTCGCTCGTGGTCTCCTCAGGGGTGTCTCCCAGCATGGTGGCTTCAGGTTTTTACATGGCCACTTGGGGCTACAAAGGCGCTTGTCCCCGGAGAGCCAGGTGGAAGTTACATAGTACTTCATGACCTAGACTTGGGACTTTGCCACAGTCTATTGGTCAGGGTCTGCCCAGTTCAAGGCACGGAACGTAGAGCCCACCTTTCGATGGAAGTCATTGTCCCAAGAAGAGTACACAGGACGGGAGGTGCATTGACATAGCCATCTCTGGGAATTGCTACGGGCAGGGAAATTGACGCGTGCTCAGCCTGGGCCCTGAGCCCTGTTCATGTGGTAAATCAGAATCCCCTCTCATAGTCCCACCCTTTATCATAACCCTTCTCAAGGTGCTAAGAGGTGAATTACTTGTGTAATTACTCACCTTTTTTATTTGGTCCCAGCATTTGATATGTAGTATGTTCTCAATATCTGCTGAATGAATGAATGAATGAATGAATGAATGAATGAGTGAACGAGTGAACGAGTGAATGAGTGAATGAATGAGTGAGTGAAGGAGTGAGTGCATGCAGTGCTTGAGCCGGGCTCTGCCAGTCTGGCTGCTGTGGAGCGGGAGGCGGGGTCACCACGGAGCCACCGTGGGGTGACACCAACAGAGCAAGCCCAGTCGACACAGACATGATATGGCCTTGGGCAGATGGCTGATGGCCTTGGGCTGCAGATTCCTCATCCTCAGTCAGAGAGCATCAAACAGACTCTACCCACGCCTCCAGGAGAGGTGAGCTCTAGGGAAAGTTTACAAACTGTCAGGCTGCTGAGGATCTTTAATCACAAGTCCTCAAGGCCGGTGTCCAAGGTAGTTGGGGCAAAATCTAGTCGGAGGCAGAGGGTTTGCAAAGTCACCTCCCAGCCCTCAGGGAAATGGGAACCAGCCATTCCCATAAGCGGCAGCTGGTAGCAGGTAGGAGGGTCTGGCAGCAGGCCCCAGAAAAGGGACCTGAGAGACATCATCTGGGGTCAGTTGGCAAGCTCAGGGAGTGCGTGTGCTGGTGCCAAAGGCAACACTGAACTTTGTACCTGGTGCTCTGCGCAGGGACTTGTGGCCCCGACCTCACATCTGAGCGCCAGACCCAGAGCCATCCTCCTGGACATGAACTTCAAGGTCTCAAACAGAACTCCCCATTTTCTATTCCCTCACTGCCCTAAGCAAACTTCTGGATTCTTCTGTCACTGGTAACTGCCCAACCTTCTCCAGGCACCTGGGACAGAAACCCGGGAGCAGGGCTGGCTTCATGGGTGTGCGACCCCTGCATTCACACAGAGGCCGTGCTTCGAAGGGCCACACACAGGTGTAAGGCTCTGCTGTCACTGTCTGGAGATTCTTAGTCAATTCTGAACAAAGGGTCCAGCACTTTCATTTTGCACTGGGCCCCTCGAATTATGTAGCTGCTCCTGCCAGGGAGTTAGGAGCCTCCCCAGCCCCGCCCCCCCAATCAGACCTGTTCTTCCAGGGAGCTCCTGTAACTCTTTCTCCGCCTGGTCCCTCTTCGCTATTCTGGACATGCCACAGTCAGCCTGTCTGGTGGCGGGGTGGGGGGCGGCGGGTGTTCTGGCTCTCTCTCCTCCAGATGTATGCTTCATCTGCCTGGAGCTCAGTTTCCACTTCTGTCGAACCGGGTTGATGTTAGTGATGACCTGATAGGGTTGTTCCAAGGATGAAAAAGCTGATTGCTATAAAGGGCTTAACACAGAGCCTGGCACATACTAAGTGCTCAATAAATGACAGCCCAATAATGTCCTCATCCCCCCCACCCCCCCGCTGTCACTCTCCTAGGCCGGGCTGATTCATCTCTTGCCGAGGGGAGAACAAGAGCCTCAGAACTGAACTCTTGTTAATTCATCTTTGCTGCTGCAGCCGGAGTGATTTTTCCAAGACACAAATCCAGCCCCTGACTTCTTTGCCTTAACTCTTCAGTTTCAAACGCCAGACTTCTGAGTGGTTTAAAAATCCCTGTAGGATCTGGCCTCCAGCCTCATGGCTCTGTCCTTACGACTTTGCACCCCGTGACCAGGAGTTGGTTTTCCTTCCCAGCACCCTCTCTGCTCTCTCCAGCCCCTGGGCCTTTGCTCTTGCAGTTACCTCTGCTTGGACATATCCTTTCCACCTATATTCCCTGGCTTCCTTCCACCTGTCTTTTGGGTCTTACCTCGGGCATCACCTCTTCCGAGAAGCCTTCCTACATTGCCTCCCTACTTTATTAGGAATAGGCCCTCTACCTCTGGGATCCCAATGCTCCTTGCCTGTGTGTCCCCCACCAAAGCATCACCCTGCATTATAAAGTCTTGTTTGCAGACTTTGTCTAATCTGAAAACCCCTCCAGGACATTGACCACTTTTCCATTTCTGTGTCTGTGGCCTGTCCTTGGGCCAGGGTCATTAGTGGGTTCTCACTAGTGTTTGTTGAATGAATAGTCACTACTATCAGGTGGGGGCTGGAGCTGTAGTCCCAAAGTAGAGATTAAGGAAGTCACCCTTTCTAGGGCAGGGG